GTCGTATGCGCAATTGCATATAACAATAAAAAATACTGAATTTAATGAATATTTAATTATGTGAGTACGTAATCACAAAAAGTAAAAAATTGATTTTTTTATAATAGTATCTAAATAATTCGTTAAATTCAGTAAATTTTTTTGTTATATACAATTGTGTAATAATTAAATTAATAGAATACTCAATTCATACATCATAGTGTATTTACATTTATTTTTATTTCGAGATAATGCTATGAAATCAAACAATTTTTTTATTAAATCGTTAAAGGATGAAAACAATACTTATTTTGTTAACTTTTATCATATTTTAAACAATATAGTACGTGAAGTCGTCAAAGATTAAGTATCACACTGCGCCAACCTGAGAAATGCGTGTCAATCTTGACCGCTATGCACATACGCGCGCTCATTCGTCACTTTTAATCTGATCCACTGTAAAAATTATTCGTCGCACGCAATTTTGCTGAAGGAAAAAGTTTCTTTTAGCATAAAGAATTACGTAGTGTACTCCAAATACGGAAGTTTTGGGACATCCTGTATATATATTACTATTAATTTTTGCTTATTTCTTGTTTTTAAATATTAATAATTTAATAAATTTGTCGATGCATTTTCACTTGTTTCTAAAATAGAGAATTAAAAAAAGATAAGAAATTGATAAAACATTTCAATAATGTTTTAATAAAATGTTTAAAAATCTATAAAAAATATATTATACGTGTATTATATATATTTGTGTAAAAAGAAAGATGAATTTCTTTAACAAAATATTTAATCGATGTGTGCAAATATAATCTATAATAGAAATATATAATATGTACACGCGAGATACATTTTTATAATATAATTAAAATATATAATATATCATACATAATATATAATAATATATATAAAATATAAAAGATATTTTATATATATGCCTACGAATGACTTATGAATGAAAAATAATATTAATATTACAAAATAATAGAATTTGTCTATTGTAATAAAATCTTAAAGGTCAGTTATAAGTGCAGCACGCTATATTTTTATGATCATAATCTGTTAAAGAAAATTGAAGTTAACAAATTAAATAAACTAATCTGTCCATCGAAAAATAGATATATGCCAAAATAACTTGTGCACATGATTCATTTTATTCGTAAAGTGAGTTCGTTTTACACCTTATTAAAATATTTTATTTATGTTTTATAATTGCCTGAAATTACAAACTTTTTTGTTTGTAATCTATATTTATATTTTTCGAATATTTCAATGTTCTTGAACATAAATAACTTTGAAATATTAATGAAGAAAAGATGTAAGTATTTCGTAATGTTTTACACAGTTGTAATTTGTAAATTTACAGCAATATATTTTTAATAAGAGTAATCTTAATAAATTTTTAAAAAGAGAGTATGTGTCTATGTAGTATCTATACATAAGCATAGTGTAAAATAATAAAACTTTAAATTTAATAAATATCTTGTATATCAATGAAATATATTCCAAAATTTGTACATTTTTATTTGATCTTTTTATTATATATTAAATTTTATTTATTTAAAATTTGTTATGTTTTAATATTTACAATAAACAAATTAATATGTCATTGCTATACTGTATACAATTAATATATGTATATCCAACGCACAATTAACTGAAAGAGTTTATCTAATTCTAATTCAAAAGACTATAAGAAAAGAAAAAGTAACGTGACTTACATAAATTATTACCACAATGTATACGTATATATCCAAATAGCACTTTTGTGATTGACTATTTTAAGTAACAAATAATGATTGTTTACAAAAAAACTCCACTATGCAAATTTTTTTTCGTAATATGGCCGGTAACCGTCCAACTCGCACGAGTAATGTGAATAGTATCCGGCGAATAAGTGAACGAAGTCCTATGAGATCAAAAGTATTTATTAGATTGACTTCGCATTAATCGAGGGAATCTTAAGTAATCGCAAAAAATGCGGGACGTCCCGAGCGAGATTTTTGTGTATGTAGCTATCCATACCCGATAAGTATACATTTAATACGCATATCTTACTTTATTGACATGACTCATATTAAAACCAATGTGCCATTAGACAAATATTGGATATTATTATCTTTTATTATCTTTTGCATTTACAGCAACATGTTAATATTAACTTTTATCGCGATCACGTATGCTTCAGGTTAAAAATGCAAATGATACGGATTAAATCGACAACATCAAAGATATAATCAGCAATTTAATTCAAAAGCATTACTGAATTTCTTCCCGTTTTAGATTCTGTACTCTTTTGCACTAATTGCAGCATTGGAATTTTAATATATCTAAAATATAATTATATTCGTATCTTTATCCGTATCTTTATATAAAACTGATCGTTAAATTATACTTTGCATGGCGACAATCTTTATAAAAAACTGATCGTTAAATTATATTTTGCATGGCGACAATTTCGGTAGATAATAATATTGAAAAAATAATATATTTTAGGTTTAAAATATTATTAATAAAGATAAATAAGATCAATAATATAACTATATATACATGTATATACATATATATAACACTACTATA